CGGCTGAATAAAATTCTCAGCCCTCTTGGCCACTACCTCTCTGCCCTTTTTTGTTTGTTTGAGTACTGGGATTAAAGTCACAACCTTGTGCTTGCCGGGCAGGAACTTACAACACTGAGCTAAACCCCCGCCTTGCCTCTCTGCCCTTCTCACTGCTATGTGACCTCAGATGCCCCAGTTGCCTTCCATTCTTAGATGGCCCTGCTCTCCTTCCTGCCCCAGGGCCTTGGCACAGGCTTCTCCCATTGTTCAAACTCTCCCCACCCCTCCCCGCCCCACTCTTCCTCTTGTCAGCTCACAGTCAAAGCCCTGGTGCCCGTCACACCCCGGGGGGTTCCTGTTATCCTCCCACGGCCTGGCTATAACCCCAGACACCAGCCGCTTATCACAAACCTGTGAAGCAAGCTGGATCTCATTTCTGGTTCAGACACATGCGCGCGCATGCGCACACCCAGAGACACGCGCACGGGTTACACATACAGAATAACAAAAGGCAGAATAATACCACGCTCTCTCTCCTACTGCAAGATCTGCATGAACCAAGGCTCGAGGCCTGTGGATACGACTCTTTTTAGAGCAAACGGGGCTTTTGTAGACTAGATCAAGGGGCTGGAGACGGACAGATGAGTCCTGATCCACAGGGGTCTTTAGAAGACAGGCAGGAGATTCTCCTGCCTCAGCCTCCCGCAGTGCTGAGATTGCATCTGGGTGCCAAAATCCAAATGAATAAATGAAGATCAAAAGTACCCCCTTTTGTAGAGCGCTGGCCCTCAAGAGGAACAGAGGCCCACTGTGGCCTGGAGCTCGGCATATCTTCGTGGTCTTGGGTGTTTTTGGTGTTTGGCAGATATTCAGTCGTGAGCAGGACTGGAGGCCCTTGGAAAACCAAAGAAGATGTGATTTTTTTCTCCAGCTCTCTCTCTCACCTCATTAGTCATAGATAAAATCCACGGGAGCTTGTGGTTTCAAACTTTAGCTTGAGAGAAGGCACCACCCCGTGGGGTTACTGATAAGGCCCAGGGCTCTGATATAGTCAGAGCATGGTGAGAACTGGGGAAACCTCAAGGTCTCAAAACAAACTGAGCAGATGTGTTGGTGCACACCTGTCATCCCAGCACTCGGGAGGCTGAGGCAGGAGGATCCCGGCAAGTTCAAGACCAGCCTGGGCTTCAAAGTGAGCTCAAGGCCAGCCTGAGGTGCACAGTGAGACCCTGCATCAAGAAGACAAAAACAAAAGCAAAACAAAACAAAATGAGATGCCTGTGGCCCCTTGCTAGCACTCTGCTGTGTTGTGTTAGCTCCCGGCTTCCGGGACACACTCAGGGTTCTAGAAACTTCACTCTCCCGCCTGCAGGGCACCTGTCCATCCCGCTCTCTTAGAGAGAACCTTTCTCCTGTTCCTGCAGTTGCTGAGATTCCCATCTGCTTCACCGAGGGGGAGCTTTCTTGGGGCCGCTGGAACAGAGCACAACCTACAGGCGAAAGGCAGGGCCAGAGATCAGGGTAGCCGAGCTGACCCGATGGGTCCAGCAGTCACAAGCAAACCACTGAGTCTCTGCAGTCACCGTCGGGGCAGAGCCCTTTGGACACAAGCACTTAATTGCATGAGATATTTGATACTTTATTATGAAATGGGCTTGGTGTCAGATGACCCTGCTAAGGTGATTGTCCCGAGGATGGCCGAGGAGGGGCAGCCCGAGTGAGGCTGTCCAGTGGATTATGTGTACTCAGGGCAATCATTTTATTTTGCAGCACTGAGGATGGAGCCCCCATGGCAGGCAATTACCTTGGAACCACACCCCCAGGCCTTCTTATATATTTTTTTTATTTTGAGACAGTCTCACTAAGTTGCCCAGGCTGACCTAGAACTTGTGATCCTCCTGCCTCAGCCTCCTGAGTAGCCGGACTGGCAGGTGGGCATCACTGTGCCCTGATGCTTCCATGTATTTTTTTAATTTATTTTCAAGTTATGCGAGGATTAGCAGGACCTTACCCCATTGCTAGATAAGAAGCATCTGCATGTTCCTACATTGGATAGGGAAATGATTCAATGGTTCTGTGCCTGGATTTCCTTCTACATAAACTAGTACCAAAATAGTACTGTCAGGGGTAGTTAAACAGCAAGAGGCCAGAGGGACAGAGCATGCCGCCACCCGGCCACCTAGTGCCAGAGCATGGCCCGGGGCCTACAGTCCAGTGACAACAGGACAGGAAAATTTCTTTGAACACCTCCCTGCCTTAGGTCGGGGCCTAGTTTAAATTAAGAATTTATCTTTTGCAAATTTCTTATACGATTAAAGCCCCTCAGCAAACACTGACTGTCTTCAAGGGACAGAAAGACATTTTGCAAGTCTCATATGACATCTGAGTCACGTGTCGGTCAGTACCCTAAGGACTCTTGTTCCCTGAACCCAGGAATAACTCTTGTGTGCACAAACAGATACTCGGATTCACAGCTGGTGAATGTGGCGGCTCCCTAGCATTTCCTATTGCACAAAGGTGTAACTCCATCTCTATGTCACGATAAATTCTCCTATTCGGTTGCATGGTTGCCTATGTGTCTTAACAAAATTCTCTCATCAAAGGAAGACCTGAGGACCAAGGTCACTGCATCAGGACCTGGCTTCCTGGTCACAAAGAGAGAAGCATGTATTCAGCAAGGCTGTTGCCCCAGCTAACACCTTCCCAAAAGAATCCCGAACTCTGGGGTCATCTCTGTGCTTAATTGTCTCATATTTAGGCTACTAATTCCTATTTTAGATATGCATTCAAGTGACTAGATGTGGCTTGTATGTGCGAGACAGCCTTTGATATAACTGAGAAAAATAAAACATTTAAATGTGCATTGTAATTATAATTGCATCAGTCAGCTTTCCATTACTATAACAAACACTGGGGGCAATCGATGTAAAAGGAGAAAAGGTCTTTCTTGGCTCATGGATGTAGAGGGCCCACTCTACGACCAGTTGGCTCTGTGGTTTTGGACCTGTGGAGGCCTGCCACGGTGCTAGCTTATGGTGGGACAAAAGTTCTTGTCTCAAGGCAAGGACCTTTGAGAGACACTCGCATAAACCATGAGAACAAATTACGCTTACAAAAAGAACAGCTACCAAGGATTAAAGAGCTCATTGCAAGCCGAGTTCTTGAGCAAGAGTACTTAAAGATTCAAGTCACTTAATCTCACAGTAATGAACATCTGATCAAGGCCACTGTTTGCCTTCCTTACAGATGAGGAAACGGAGGCCCAGAGGAGCCGAGGATGGAGCCCAAGGTTACCTGTCTCGGAAGCCCCAGAGCAGAACTTGAACTCAGGTGGTCTGGCTCCGGGTGGGAAGCCCTGAGGGTGGACGTCAGTGTTTGCACACGGTGATGAGTGATAGGAGGAGCCCGGCACGGTCATATGAAGTTGGGAATTACCAGCTAACTTTGGCTACTACCTCTGAGTCTTGGCAGGAGCTGACGGGCAGGGGAGGCGTTTCCTGCACAGCGAGCGTGTAGGGGGAGGACGGTGGACGACTGCAGGCCCTCAGGAAGATGGATGGTGGGGCCCGAGAGGTGAAAGAGGAAACAGAGCAGATAAACTTCTCAGAAACTGCAAAGTAGGTCAGTGTCGCGGGCTAGGGGCTTCCTGGCCCTGCACCTCAGCTGAACCACACCGTGTCCGGGTCTCGGCTCCTGCCTAGCTGGGGTTTTTAATTCCTTCTCATCTTTTGTTCTCCTCCATCTCTCCTGTCTTCGTCCTCCTCTTCGTCCTCCTCCTCAAGGTGCCGAAGCCCTGCCACAATGCCATTTGGAGACTAAACTTAGCAAGAGGTTCCGTCCCCAGGCGGAAGCCGGTGGCTGCCTGTGGCTTTTATAAATACACTGTCCCTGCACCTCGGTCTCCTAATCAAAGCCACGGAAACAGAAACACTGTGATAGAGTAAAGGAAACTCCAGTGGGTGCTGGGGCTGGGCACTCGGGGGCCCTTCTGCCTCCTACCAGCCCGGTGGGGCCAAGGTGATGGGAAACTTTCCTGAATTCTGCAGCCCCGGGTGGGGGAGATGGAAGGGCCTCTTGCAAGCTACGATTTCAGCACTTAAAAGCTGGGTCATAGTACCTCCTGCCCAGGGCTGAGAAATAACGCTTACCCCAGGGAGGGCGGGAAACATAGCTCAGAGGGACAGCACTTGCCTAGCAAACTCAAGGTCCTGAGTTTGATTCCTGGTTCCAAAAAAAGGGAGACACTTGCTCTTAGAACTCTGCACACTTACTGAGTTCTGTGTACCAAGTGCCAGAGCAAACAGGCTTTCCCATGCCTGATCATCACAATGATCCTAAGGAGCGAACTGGTTTTCTCTCTGTCCATTTTACAGATGAGGAAACCCGAGGCACTGAGAAGTTATATGACTCGCTTAAGGTCACACAGGGACTAACAGGAGAAAGGTGGAAGCCAGGACTATCCCATCGCAAAGCCTGTCCCCTTCCACACTCTACCGTGTAAAACACGATACCAACAAAAACCAGTAACAACAAATAATTCCTCTCGCATCCTCAGATTCTAGGAACTTCCAGCCGCACTGTGGTAATGCTCATTTGCATAAACCAGCGGATTTGAGTGCATATCATTATCTGCCACTTCCCACGCTTTCTGTGCTCCAAGATTCCAATGGCTCCGCAGGCTGTCACTCTGTTCTGAAGGAGGCCAATCAGGTGCCTGCATGGCGGAAGTGGCCAATCAGATCCCTTGAAGGGCGGAGCCTCCACTTCCCTGGAGTCCCGGATGGGCGGGGGAAGGCAAACCTAGAGCTGAGGGCTACTGGTCTACCCGTTGCTGCCCGCACGCTCCTGGCTCCTGGTCTGCAAGATGACCTCAGCGGGGCCATCCCTCTGCCCTGTGAGTCACCGCCTTTGCTCTTGGCTCTTTCCTCATCTTCGTCATGGGGCTTTTTGGGCCTGCAAACCACATCCCACCTTCCTTCACCAATGTCTTTCCCCAAGAACCAGACAGACCCAAGTGCAAGTGTTCGCTGTTTATTGCAAAGAGCAGCACAGGCCAGGTCCATGCCTGACCCCAGGATGTGTCAGTCCTGGCCAAGGGGACCCTCAGGCTCGGCGTGTGACATATGTTTGTCCCCGGGACACCATGGGGTCACCAGGTCTGCCCGTGAAGGTCCCAGGGGCCAGCGTGACTCTGACACCCCACCCGGGAAGGTGGCTGGGGTGTGGGGTGCAGAGCTGCTGCGAGCCGTTTCCTGTGACTGTCACGGAGTCTCCATGACCAGGCAGGTGTGATTGTCGAGTCATCCTTTGCTCCTTTCGTGCACGCAGCGAGCACTTCCTGTGTGGTGGTGAGGACCTGACAGCAGCATCCTCGTGGGCTGTGTGTGCCCAGCAGTGACGGGACACGGCCAGCGAGCGGAGGCCACCTCGGTAGCTGGACATCCACCCCGGGACCGACTCCACCACGGTCCACGACTGTGTGTGGCACTGGGCCGGGCTTTCCGCGTGGGCCAGTCCTGGTGGTCAGTGTCCTCCTGGCTCTGCTGGTGATGCAGGGAGAGCCACACAGTTGCCAGGCTCCAGCCCCGATCCCTGGAATCCCACCTTCTTTGGGAAGAAAAGTATAAATACCCGCCCCTTGTCCCTTGTTCCTGAATATCAGGCAAATCAGCTGGATGTTCTACTCAGGGGCCACCAGCAGACCCCCAAGTCTTCACGTCCTTGTCTGTAATCTGGAGGGCGGGGAGATGTCTGGGGATGGAACCCCGGTCCCCAGCAGCCTCAGCCAGCGTCCCAGCCCCAGGTCTTTGTCATGAGAATTGTCCTTGGCAGGGTCTGAAGTTGGGGCTGGGGGTGGGGGTCCCTCAAAAGGGCCTGCTGGGTCTTCAGCCGCTCTAGGTGGTGAGGATGCGATCCCTGGAGGTGTCCGCCCAGCTGTCCACCTGCTGGTTTTGGGTTCCCAGGGAGGCCCCCCAGACCTCTGCTGCCAGGCTGCGACAGCCCGAGGGGCCTCGGAGGTCTCTCCGTCCAGTCCACGTCCCTCCTTCCTCACACCATGAAAGCTCCAAAGTAGGACCGCGTGCCGTCACGCAGGCGGATCAGTCGCTCGTCGGGCACCCGGACGATCACCTCCTCGCCCACCTCCAAGTGCACCACACCGCCCAGGAAGCTGCTGTCCCACCAGATGCGGGAGCCGTTTGCCCGTCCACAGGGTGACCGCCGGCTGACCAGCAGCTCCAGCTCCTCTGGGTAGCGGGGTGTGCGCTTGTAGAGCCCGTGGGTGATGGGGAGGCCACTGGCCAGCCCCTGGGGACAGCCCACGCCTCCCAGCTGCACTTTGGAGTAGATGTAATAGTAGCCGGCCTTGGTGGTCACTAGGGCGCCGTTGCGGTAGCTGAGGCCTCTCAGGAAGGCCAGGCCCAGCTGGGACTCCCACAGCAGGGGGCCGCCACTGCCCGTCAAGCTGGAGTTGGCTCCTGGGGGACAGAGAAAGTGATCAGCTCGTCTCCTTCCTGCTGTGTGACAACACTTCCTGGTCCTCTGCTTCTGTGCTAGGCTGTATATATGGATTAACTCGCTATGTTTCTGCTTTGCACATGGGGGAAACTGAGGCACAGAGCAGCAAGATGGCTTCTGTATTATGTCTCTTAACTCATCTGCCCCACCGTGTCTTCAGGGAGAGGCCTGAAGAGACGAAGTAAGTTGACTTTCAAGGGAGCAACCAAGTTGTCTCATGACTAAGCAATTCGGAAAAAATGTCAAATCTTGAAAGCTGCAGAATCAAGGGACCGAGGCAGAACACAGCCAGGGGCCGGTGGCCATGGGACCCCTGTGTGCCTCAGTTTCTCTCTCTGCAACATGGAGACAGTGATAGACCTGCTTAGGGCTTCCTGAGACTCACAGGGACAAATCGTATCAGGGTGAGACACGGAAAGCCCTGGAGGACAGTTTATTAAATAAAATTTGAAACGCACGAGTGCCTCCTATTTGTGGTCTCAGTGGACGTGGTTTCCAATGCCACAGGCTCACCGTGCTACAGAAATACTAAGTGGAAAATTCCAAATCAAACCATTCATGTTTTAAATAACTTATATGGGCGGGGGATATAGCTTAGCAGCATAAATGCTTGGCAAGTGCAAGGTGCTCAGTCTGATTCCTGGTACCAAACCAACAAAAACAAAATAAAAAAAATTAAATGACTCATGGCAATACAGTGCCATGATTCTTCTGTCTGACTATTAATCACTGTTAATGTCTTCTTGTGCCTAATTATGTAAGTTATATAAATTAAACTTCATCTCAGGTATGTACGGGTGGGGGAAAATATGAAATACATAGTGGTTCTGGGATTCTGGGATGTATCCCTTATGGATAACAAGGACTAGTTTTGTTCTGTTTTGTTTTTGTTTTTGTTTTTTGTCGCTTTGAGACGGGGTCTCGCTGTGCAGCTCAGGCTGGCCTTGAGCTCACTTTGTAGCCTAGGCTGGTCTTGAACTCGGAAAGATCCTCCTGCCTCAGCCTCCCGAGTGCTGGGATGACAGGCGTGAGCCACCATGCCTGGCTAGGACTAGTTTTTATAGCTACTGGAGTCTCTGTGTGCCAGGAAAATCTATGGATCAAAATATACAGTGTCTGTTTAGGTTTTAAAAGTTAGTACAGTGAAAGACCCCTCATCGTTAATCCTCTTCAGGCTCCTCCCCCTCGCTTCACGGACACATGTCCCTGTGCTCTGGTCACCTTCTGAAGCAGTTCTGGGGTCCTCCCTCACGAGTGTCTTTCCCAGGTGAGGCCAGAAGCAGGGAAATCCTGCTGCCCAGGCCCATCCAGCGGGAAGGCTCATAGACACGTGACGATCTCTGGTCCCCTTATTCACTGGGTCTGCAAACCCGGTGATTTCTAGCTCTTCTGCACAGTCACAGTGACCGTGAAAGACGAACATTTTCAGTCTGAAGTCATTTGTTTATTTTTTGGCATCAGGGATGGAACCCATGACCTTGCGCCTGTCAGGCAGGGGCTTGTGCCGCTGAGCTAAATCCTCAGCCCCAAGATGAACATTTTGAACTGATTTGAGGACATCAAGCCAGTCCTGATGACGCTCACAAGAGAAGACTCCCAGCACTGCCTGAGACAGTGTCAGGAGAAAGGGGGTCGCCCCCCGCTGCCGTGCCGGGACCCGGGGTCCCTCTCACCTGTAAGGTGTGCTGCGGGGTTGGTCTGGTGGGATCTCCGCTCTGGGGAGAGAGAGTCAGAGGTCAGACACAAGGACAGTGACAGACAAGGGTCAGCCACCCGGGGGTCATCGTGTCCACCTCCCGCTGTCATCCCCGCCCCTTCCGGAGGGACCCAAACTTCTGCTTCTGGGTCAGGAGGGGTGCGGGTGGCACCTGTGGACTTGGGGTGTTGCACAACCAACTTGAGCAACGGGCAGAGGGATGAGGGTGACGTGGGCCCCGCGCTCCTCCTCCCCGAGGACCTGGATGGTGACTCACCTTGTATCAGCTTCTCCCAGGACTCCGCATCCTTCTCCTAAAATGCAGAAGGAAGCCACGGTGAGGACCTGCCACACCCCAGCTCCAGACACGTGGCCATGAGACAGCCAGACCACGGCCGCAGACACCACCCTCCGACACACACGCAGAGCCACATGCCTGTGCGCGGGCACACACACCACACACACACCAAAGACACACACACACACACACGGATACACGCTCAGATGCTCACTCAGCAGCACTCAGTGGCCAATCAAGCACTGTGATTCTCCACCACTGCCTGCCATGGAGTCAATCAATTATTATTATTATTATTATTTGTCTTTCTGAGACAGGGTCTCGCTATGCAGCTCAGGCTGGGCTCGAGCTCACTTTGTAGCCCAGGCTTGTCTCGAACTCACAACGATCTTCCTGCCTCAGCCTCCCGAGTGCTGGGATTACAGGTGTGAGCCACCATGCCGGGCAAGTCAATCAATTATTGTGCCCAAAGCGTGTGACAGCCCCAGGCCCATAGAAGTGTTTCTTAAATAAGTTATACAGGCCGATGACTTTTATCCAAAATGCTTGGGGCTGAAATAGTTCAGATTGGGGCGGGGATATTTGCATACATTTTATCACAGAGCATCCCTCATCTGAAAATCCCAAAGCCAAAAACTAAATGGCTTTTTATTTTGTTTTGTTTTAGTTTTAGTTTTTTGGCTTCTTTTTTTCTTTTGCAGTACCAGGACCTGAACCCAGGCCATTCACGCTGAGCTATATCTAAATTTTTAAATTGCAACGCAGGGTTTAGCTAAGTCAGAAGTTGCTCCCACGAGGCTGGAACCTACCATCCTCCTGCCTCAGCCTCTCAGGGTGCTGAGATCACAGGCGGGCACCCCTGCGCCCAGCTCAAACCTGTCTGGCATGTCTGGCCTCAAAATGCTTCAGAGTTTGCAGCACTTAAGATTTCAGATTTAGGAGTTTCGGGCTGGGAAATACCCGGGGACCCTGATGGCTGCTTAGTGGGACTTCAGTTTGGATGTGTGACTCAGGGCACAGACCTACTGTTCAGTGGCAGGCTGAAGAGGCATGCATGGATGCAGACACCTCGGCCCACCTGGACCCCACAGGTCCACAGACACGTATCCAGAGCCAGAGACGCCCAGCATCGGCCCACGGGGTGCGGCAGGTGAGTACCGGGCAGGCAGGACCCGTGCACAGTTCACGTGTCCGCCAGAACTGGATACAAGGAGACAGAATATGGCGACGGGGCACTGGAGGGCAAGGCCACATGTGCACGGCGTAGGCAGGCAGCCCAGGAGGGTGGAGCACGGCCGAGCTGTCTCCGGACAGAGCCAGCAGCCCAGCAAGAATCCCAGGAATGGGACCAGCAAGATTAGGACTGCGCTTGGGATAGTTAAGTGCTGGCCTCGGGCGGCCACTGCCCAGCACCCTGAGCGTCCAGGCATACTTCATTCTCTGGAAGAGGCCACTCCTTTCTCCTCTCTCTTCCTTCTCTCTCTCTCCTTCCCACTCTCTCCCTTTTCTCAGTAGTGCAGATTGAACCCAGGGCCTTCACACCCAGCTGTGTGCTCAGCCCTTTTTATTTGTGAGACAGGCTTTCACTAATTCAGGCTAGAATGGGACTTAGGATCCTCCTGCCTCAGCCTCCCAGAGTGCTGGGATCGGGCTGCAGCCGCTCTTACTGTCATCCCCATTTTATAGATAGGGAGACTGAGGTCTGGAGAGGCTAGGGGGCTGGCAGCAGCAACTCAGGGGTCAGGCCGGACATTATCTGTCTGTCCTACAAACACACAGACACACGGACACAATGGGACACAGAACGTGGCAGGAGACAGCCCCACGCCCCACTCACCGGCAGGCGGGCGACCACCTCCTCTACACGCCAGTACAGCTGCAGCAGGAACCAGCTCTGGGCGGCCAGCACGGCCCCCAGGAGCAGCAGCAGGAGGCCCAAGCCCACCCGGGCAGGAGTGCAGCACCTCTGCTTGCGCCTGGGCCCCAGCCTCCTGAAAGGGACGTCCGTCTGTCCGTCCACCACAAACACCGAAGGCCGCACGACCGTGTCCTCCATGCCCTGCAGAGGCCCCAGCGCCTGAGCTCAGAGGAAACCACAGTTGCCCAACTCGCTGGGCGCTGCACGCTGCAGAGGGCGTCGTGCGCCCCACAGCCGCTTTTAGAGCTGGGGTTCGGCCCCTCCCCTTCCCCACGCGCCTCCCTCCCCTTCCTGTCCCCCACTGGGGCCCGGCCCGCGTCTCACTCTCACTCATAAGCCGCTCACACTTTCCAAAGCCACCTGAAAATGTGACTCAGGTAGCGACGGGAGAGGGGAAGCCCCGGCGTTCACCCCCAGGCTGCTGGGTTCCCTGGAGCACTGGAGAGCTCCTGAGGAGCCCTGGGCCCCGGCCACAGCAGGCGAGAGGACAGACCGGTCCCTGGTCCGGGCAGCCCAGTACCCGGATGGATGGGACGGAGCGGGTGCTGTTTCCACGGTGCCCAGGGCGGTGGAGAGTGGGGGGGCTTTGTGGGTGTGCACGTGGGTCTGTGTGTGTGCAGATGCTCAGGTGGTATGTCAGTGTGCACTGTGCAAGTGAGAGCACGTATACATGAGTGTCTGTGTATACATGCATGGAAAGCACATGGTGTGGTGTGCATCGATGTGCACACGCCTGGGTAAGTGTGTGTGTGCGCATAAGCAGCTGTACTCCTGGATGTGCACTATGTACACGCACGTGCCCCACGTGTCTGTGTGCACATGTATATGTGCAGATGTGCCTGGATTTTCAAGAATTGATCTGGGTACTCAGGCGGAACCCAGGGCCTTTGCACTGAGCGCTCTCCCAGCCCTGGTTTGAATTTTAAACTTTGAGACGGCATCTGCCTAAGTCATTGGGCTCAAGAGGAGGCCCTCCTGTCTCAGCCTCCCAGAATGCCGGGGTGATAGTTGTGCAAACCTCTGAGACAGCCAGCCTCGCCTGTGGCTTCAGAGCGCCCGGTGACCCTCACTGAAGGGACGGGCTGGCAGATCACAGGCACGTGGGGCACCCCAGCTGCTGCTCCTTCTGTGCAGTCACCGAAGCAGCTCCAGGAGACGCCACTTAGATTTGAGGGCACCCTGTCCCCCGCCCCATTCCATCCCCAGCACCTGCTGGCTGGCAGTCAAGCCTCACTGCTGCCCATGGAGCCCGTGCTGCGCATGGAGAAAGGCCTGCTGGGATTCGGGTGTCCTTGTAGCAAAAGAGGAAGTGGACACTGGGGTCCCCTCGGCCCCTCCAACCTGCCTGACCCCCTGGGAAAATCACTCTTCACCAGCAGCCAGTTGCCCTCCCGCCAGGGCACGGCCACCTCGGCGTCCTCCCTGGCTCCAAAAGGACTTTCCTCAGATCCCTCAAAGCTAGAAACAGCTGCCCTCCGCCCTGGACAGGAGTGGACATTTGCTCCACAGGAGGCCGTCCAGCGGGCCGCCCCTGGGTCTCCACTGGGCTCAGTGCCTTCCGTCGTGTTGCTCTGTGCCCAACAGGTCAAAGCCAAGGAACGTCTCCCGAGGAGGTTCTTTCAGGTCACTTAGGCTGGACACAAGAGAGAGAGACAGACACAGGGACACAGAGACAGAGAGAGGTGCAGAGATAGAGAGCCTGGCTTGGGAGTTTATTTTAAGGTGCTGACTCACACATCACGGGCACAGAGAGTGTGACAACCATGGCCCAAGCCACAGCGCAGCCCGAGACGCGGTCCACTAAGAGCTGGTGTTGTGGTCTCATCCAAAGCCTGGAAACTGAGGCAGGGCCCCTCACTCAGGAATGTCAGCCTTGGGGGCTCGCACTTTTGTCCGACGTGCCGAAGCCTCTCGCAGAGCCCAGGGCTGTCTCCTCCCCAAGACCCGCTCGAGGGACCCTGCCAGCCACAGAGGCTGGTGTTCAGCCACACCATGGGCACCACGGGATACAAGGCAGGGACCCGAGCTGCTTGGCACGTGGAGGATTTGCTCCGACCGCCTAGGAAAGCTCTCCTCGGCCCCCACCTGCCCTCCTTTTCCTGAATGTCCCATGGGAAGTGAATTATACGCTGCCCCTTAAAATATTCATTTTATTTTGTGTCCTGAAGATGAACCTCAGAGCCTTTGAACAGTAGGCCTGTGCTCCCCCACTGAACTACATCTCCAGCCCTTTGGCTTTTGATTTGGGACAGGCTGTTGGCTAAGTGACTCCGTCTGACTTGAACTTGTGATCCTCCTGCCTCAGCCTCCCAGAGAGCACGATTCTAGGCACCCCGAGCCCAGCCTCCGCACTGTCTTGTGTGTGTGGTCTTGGGTTCCCCTTTTACAATTTCAGGTGAAGCTCCTGTCTGCACTGAGCAGAGCCGGAGCTCCCGAAGAGTAAATCAGAGTAAATCACAACCGAAAGCCCCAGAGGTCCCTGCCCGTGAAAGAGCGGGGGTCAGGAACCCGAATCAGAGGAAAGGGACAGAGAGCCAGACAGGAAGAATCAGAAGGACTGAAAGTGGGGTGTGGCGGGGAGCTCGGGCAGGTGGGGGATACCGCGGGAGCTGTGCAGAGTGAAGTCCTCGGGGGCTTCCCCGGACACCAGTCCGTGGCATTTGAGGGCTGCAGAGGCAGGGTGGGCTGTGGCCTGACAGCCCCTACATTCCCAGAGTCCGGAGGTGGGGCTTTCCGGGCCTGGAGGTCTTAGGGGAAGGCGCTGCGCCCCCTGACTTTCCGGGAAAGGGGGTGGGGCTTCCCTATGACCTCATCCCCAGCCGGCAGAGCCCGGGTGCCACCCCAGCACGGGCCTGAGTCCTCGGCACCATCGCGGCCTTCGGCACACGCGCTCCCGTGCCAAGCGCGGTGACGCACACCTGTCACCCAGCTCTGCGAGGCTGAGTCAGGGAGATGGCAAATTCCAGGCCAACCTGGGCGAATAGTAGAGCCTTGCCTCAAATAATAACGATGATGATGATAAACTCCTGCTGGACGACCCCTCCCCACCAGCAGCAGCGGCTCCCGCCCCGCGCAGTGGCGGCTCCTGGGCGCAGGCCGGGGCAGCGCGACCCCAGAGACCTGCCCTCCGGCCCTGCTCCGCCGACTGGGGTCCCCGCCAGGCGGCAGCCGGAAGCACCGCTGCCTGCAGCCCTGGCGCCCCCTCCCGGCCGCAGCCCGAGGCAGCGCCTCCAGCGTGGCCCAGAGCGGGAGCAGCACGCGGGCCGGGGTCAGAGCTCGGGCAGGAGGGGGGCGGCCTCGGGCGCCCAGGAGACACGGGAACGTGCACGTAACAGGAGAGGTACGGAGCCGGCCAGGTGGGGGACACCTGACACCCCACACGCTGGGAGGACGCGGCGGGAGGACGGCAGCTCCAGCCCAGCCCGGGCAGGGTGGTGACTCAGCCAGACCCAGTGTCAACATAAAAAGTAAGGAGAGCTGGGGATGCCGCGGTCCCCGCACAGGAGAGAAAACAGAGGTACAATAAGCTGACGGGGGAGATGCACACGGTAGGCGGGGCGACACAGCCGGGGTGCAGACAGAGGAGCTATGAGCCGACCCCTAAGACACAGGTGGGCCAGCACGCAGGCGTGGGTGATGGGCAGCGAACTGCTGGTGCGTGGAGGGGTGAGGATGGAGAGGGGGGATGGGGGATGGGGGTGGGGGATGGGGGTGGGGGATGGAGGATGAAGGTGGGGGATGGGGATGGAGGTGGGGGATGGACGTGGGGGATGGGGGTGGAGGTGGGGGATGGAAGTGGGGGATGGCCGTGGGGGATGGGGGATGCAGGTGGAGGAGGTAAGTGCAGGGTGATGGTGGAGGATACCCATGAGACTCCGGTTGGGTAGGAGTGCGGTGCGGGAGGAGGTGTCACAGTGCCTTTTTCCCTCTCAAAGAACCTTAGACCTCGGGAGCCAGGTGCCATAGACCCGAAGCTTTATTGGAGGGAGGATGACTGACGGGCGTGGTCAGTTGGGGCAGCCAAAAACCACCATGTTCTCTGTGAAAGTGCCCAGGTCCTGGCATTGCTGCTGGTTCTCCTCGTCTTGGCATTCTTCCGCCTCGGGCCACGCTTCCACCCAGGTGTCCTTCCCGATGATGTAACTCATGCTGGGAGCAGGGAGACAGGTCAGGAGAGGGACAGAGGGAGGGCGGGGGAGGGGCATTTCCGGGTCTGCGAGGGTTGGCCGGGAGGAGGCCAATGGGTGTGGAAGGGCGTGGCATGGCTAGAAAGTGGGTGTGGCTATGTGGAGGGGACGGGTGGGCTATGTGGGCGGGGACTACGTGTGGGAGGAGCTATGTGGGTGAGGCGGGGCTATGTGGGCGGGGCGGGGCGCGAGCTGGCAGGCACTCACTTGGGTCTCTCCCCCCACAGGTCCGAGGAGAGGCCCCACATGAGGTAGTGCTTCCCCTCCTTCAGGTGCAGGGCGTCTCTGCACTTGATGTGGCTGATGAATCTGCGCTCCTTCCCGGCCTGCACCTCATCGGAGCCTGCGATGGGGGATGGAGACGGAGGGGCCTTGAGCTACAGCTCCGGGGGAGTTTGGGGCGGGGGACCGATGGGGGGCGCCCTGCTGACCTGACTTGATGACCTGCTCGATCGTCATGATGTACTCATCGAAGTCATCCGACAGCTCCATCTTGAGCAGCTTGGTCTTGTACACTGTGGGGTGGAGAGGGAGATAGGGGTCCTGGGCGGGGTGGATGGTGGGGTCCCCTCTATCCCGGGCAGAGACGCATGCAGTCCACCCCCAGGGACACGCAGCGCCACACAGGGTCACATAGTCACAGCCTCACAGCCAAGGCCACGCACGATTGCCTTTTACCACACACACAACCGCAACCACACCTCAGGCCACGCACCGGCGCACACCCATAGCCCGGCACTGTGACACACACAACTGCACCTGCACGCACCCGTCACCACTCACCGTAGTCCACCCCGGGCTCGCAGGCCTTCTCCAGCCGCTCATCCAGGGTGATCTTCTCCGGCAGCTGTATGAAGCAGTTTTCTGCGGGACGGTGAGAGACGCAGCCTGAATCCCGCTTCCCACCGGGGCTCGGTGTCCCAGGGCGCAGCTGGCCGGTCCCCCGTCCTCCCCCCGCCACTCCCGCCCCAGCACCCACCCTCTGCGCAACGGCACAAGTCCTTGTGGCAGAGTTTGTTCAGCATCCCGTCCTCCT